ATATTGAATGTTTTTCTTCTGTTAGAGTTAGTTTTTTGTAGTTTGTGATAAAGAGTAGTCGAATAAAAGAGTAATACTACAGATCTTAACGCACGCATACAATCAACTCAAGAACTTATAATTAGAGGAAATATAGGTTCCTCACACACTGCTTGTAAGATCTTTTAAAAAGAAATTGTATGATCTTGTGATAAAATTTCAACATTCTCGCTGACAAGATTATATAATTTCTTGCTACAAAATCTTAACATTTCTTCTAAGCTGATCTTGTAAAAGATCTTACGAGGAGACGTTACAGGATTCTGCACAATCATTCATGATCTTGAGATAAGGTCTTGCCAAAAGATCTTGTAGCACAAGATTGTATAAGAAATCATAAGATCTTGTAAGGCGTCTTTCACCTGGATGTGTCTTTTCGGTCACTGAAGGTAAATTCATAATCTTTCTACTATTAATTTTGAGTTTTTCAATTCTCTTATAGAATGTCAAATTTCTTACACAAAAAGGCTCCATTTGAGTACTATTCGAATTTGAAAACAATATCATCCTTCAGCTTTGGACGATAATATTCTTATGTGTGATAAACATAACCGGAATAAGTTATTGTTCAAAACAAAGAGTTAACATGTGGTATCATGATATTTCGTTGATTAATTATAGAAGTAAAGAGATGACATTTATGCTTGAAAAATCTAGATTCATTAGACAGTAAAACTGAGACACCCTTTGATATCTATGACAGCTAAAGATCAGTTAGTGACGGAAATAGCAGATGATGCAGAAAATCAGTTTCAATTAAAGCTATGTTTTTCTTTTATATAAACTTTTTTTTTATATCAATGAAATACAGAACAAATCGAGATAGTTGTCACATTACATGTTCATAGTTTGCTTTAATACATGACTTAGAAATCTCAAGTTTATATCGTTACTGAAAAGTTAACAAGGAAGAAAATAGATGCTAGAAGAGAAAGAAAGACCAGAAAGAGGAAGAGTTAGACTAATTTCGGATGATGTAGACGAGTGAGAGAGTCAAATAGAATGATTATGATGAAATATAATTTATTAAAAATACCGAGGCCGAATAGATGATAATAATGTCGATTACGTTGTAAAACAACTTCGTTTCAATTTTGTATGCATATGATCGAAAATTATCTAAATAGATTGAGCTCTTCGGTTTTTAGTTTAGAGTTAAATTAAATTGTGAAATTTATTATCATCGCACTCTTAATAATCAAGATTATTTTACTAGAATATGGGTGATATTTTCATTTATTGAATACTTTACAAATACTTATGATTTATACATTTTTTTCTTTTTGCAAATAAAACATTTTAGTTGCTTATATATGAATAACGAATAAAGTGTGCTAAATATTTTAGTATGCTGCATAATTGACTTATATTTTTTGTATATATTTTAGGTAATTTAAAAGATCGTTTAGATTTAGCCTTTTCAATGTATGATGTTGATCAAAATGGATTTGTTGATAAGAAAGAAATGACAAAAATTATTTCGGCTATTTATGATTTAAATGGTGAAACAAATCGAAAGAAAGAAAATGCACCGAGTAGAAGAGCGGAAGTGATCATTAAAAAATTTGATGTTAGCGAAGATAATCGTTTATCGAGAGAAGAATTCATTAGTGGATGTCTAAACGATCCGGAATTACGAGCTTTGCTTGCTCCCTAAATGTCTCGACATAAACTGAAACTGTAGACAATTAAATATTCCATAAATTTTAATTCACTTCTTTTAACAATACTTATGAATTTTTGTTGTTGTCTTCAGATTTTAAAAAAAACAGTGATAAGAAGGAATGATAACATAATGGAGTATTAAGAAACTTATAAACCAATGATTTGTTTAAGGTTTTTGTATTAATAACACGGGATGAGTAAATAATTAATGAGAATAAACAATACGAAAAATCTATTCTATGTAGAATTGAAGATTTTAGACTTTTTCAACTAATATAAAAAATTCGACAACTCCGCCGAGATTTCGCCACAACGGACTGCTGAACTGAGTATTAAACACTTGATTTCTACATTCAAAATAATACTGAAAATTTCCAAAAACGAAATACTGCCACGAGAGTTGACATAATTGTTGTCAATAGCGACGCTTATACGTGACGTTCTCGAAGAAAAGTCTGAGTAAACATGGTGTGATCAAGTATGAACAGGCATATAATCAAACTCTGCAAGACGCGAAATAAATTATACATGACCTTTCTTGAAATAAACGCTGGGATTTTCTGAGAAATGCACATGAGAATATGCATTCTACTCATCAAATTAATTTTATGTTCTGTCTGTAAAACTATAGGGTTACCCTCGCTAGGTCCCGCAGGGCAGCCCTCACAAGGAGGATTTTTTGAAACTTGACGAGGTACGGGGTGATGATGAGGCAATAACTTCACGAGGTGAACCCCATGGGAACAGTTTTATACCGTTAGTGAAAGACGCTGAACAGAGTTCTTCTCAGTTCATAGTTGAAAAATATGTTTGTTTAGTGCGTAGGATAGTCGCGGGACAATAAGGAGCAATCGAAAAAACACTAAAAAATAATTATTGGCCCCCCAAAGTTTTTGGACTTACGCCACTACTGGCGTAGGGCATCTATCGCATACGCCGCAGTTTCCTCAAGTGGACGTAAGCTAAAGAGGAACTAATCACTGTCTTGTCTCTAATGAAAGACGTTTTTCTTCTTTTACATTTTTTCTTTTTTTTCTTGAATGAGATTCATGAGTTATAATCATAATCAAGAATGTGAATAATTATATTATTTTCCTTTCTCGCTCTCTTTTTCTATTTGATATATCGACCTCTTGTTCTATAATTATGGCATCGACTGCGGGAAAATTGTTTTTTTGTGCACAGTTTACTATTTTCCGTCTTTTAAAATCTCTTGACATTTTCGTGCACGATTACATAAAGGTGTACGGAGACGTTTCTGTGGACGTGCACTCACAGTTTTACAACGAGTAAAAGATATTTTCGTTTTACATGCAAATGACATAAACAAATAAGATCATCTATAAACTGTAAATCTTATTGACTGAAACTATATGATAAATTTTGAAAATTGGTGTAGAATGAAGTTCATCTCTTTGAGAATTAATTCAACCCACACAGTTCTCAATATACTCTAAATATTTTTTTCTTTAAACATAAATCATATCAAGGCACCTTTCTGTAACCGTGCACAAAAATGTCAAAAGATTTTTTTTTTATGTATGGAAAACAGAAAACCGTGCATAATTCTGGAAAAACCATGCACAGAAAAATTCTCGTCCATCGACTGTGGTTATATCGTCACTGTTGTCCATCACATTTGATATACATAGTAACAGTTATTAAAATCTCTTTAAAGGGAGATAAACTGAAGTATAAAATCGTTAATAATATGAAAGAAAGTTAAAGAAAATACTCCTTGTTAGAAGAGATTTAGTTTGTCAGTTGTGAAGAATGAAGAAACGAATCTGTCTGATATTATACAAGGCTTTATATCACGTGAAACATGTGAAAATTTTATTGACGATGGACGAGGTTGCGGCGGAGCGATCCTCGCGCAGTAGATTTTTCAGAACTCGGCAAGGTACGGGGCGATGAAGAAGTTTGCGAGGCGAACCCCATGATGGAGCTAAAGATAGTCCATCGCCTAACTCTATTACCAACTCAAACTTGTCAAAATCAGAAGAAAACTCCTGAATCAGAAAACCGAAGTGTCAACAATCAGAAGACCTCTTTTCTCAGAACTATGACGATATTAATATATCTATCTCAATCGCTCCTTTCTCCATCAGGAACGGATATGTCATTGTTATAGGCTGAACATCTTGCGTCATTTTCATCATTACATGTAGGTAATAGTAAAACATGAAGACACCCACAGACAACTACAGACAGCTACGCAGACATCTATGGATCTCTGTGTATGGATGCCTGTGTTTGGATGTCTGTGTAGCTGTCTGTGGTTGTATGTGTGCTGTCTGTGCAGCTGTCTGTGGGTGTCTTCATGTTTTACAATTACCCCATTACATGTCGAGCTTTTTTTAAAATACCTCCGGTTATCGACGGTTCAATAAATTACTGTCGGTAACCGTACCGCTCGGCCTACCGCATGATTAATCAACGGTAATTTATTAGAACGTCGTAGAGAAAAGTACTACATGATGATCGTTTTTGTACATTCGCCGTTTTGTTTTGCACTCGTCAGTATATACAAGAAACACAGAAAACTTTCAAAAAATTTGATTGTTTTTTCAGATTAATTGATTGATTGTTTTTCTTTTAGATCATCCCTAGAGATTCGATCATATAAAAGATTCGTATAATTTTTCTATATGAATCTTATAAGAGTCTTATATGCTCCATACTGTGGTTATAAGATTCTGATGTAAGAAATTTAAAAGATTCCTATAAGATTCTTATAGTCAAAAACAAGAAAAAGAAACAAAAAAAAGAAACTTTTTTTTGTTGCCTTGAGGATGAGGGCAAAGTTTTGAACTTTGAAATTTTTGAACAGTTTTTATAAGGCACTATAAGATTATAAGAATCTTATATAAAAATTATAAACTAAAATCCTACCAAAATCTTATTCAATTCTTATGAGATTCTGATATTGCAAATTATAAGAATCTTATAGTTAAAGTATGCATTTCTATCGACTGTAGCATATAAGATTTTCGTAAGATGCCTATAAGATTTTTAGCTGATTTCCTTACTTTTATTTGCCTAGGGATGTAGACAAATTTCTCTCAATCAGTCGAGTCTCATAGCCCGAACGGGATATATATCCAGATCAGACTGTTTTGTATATCCCCATAGAATTTAAAAAATCGTACGGTAGACTTTTGAATCAAGACTAGAGCAACTTGGATTCCGACTCAGTGTTTCATCCGCTTTCTTATGCCATAGTCACTTTTCTGCAATAACGTCAGAATTTTTGCAGTAATGATTTTTTCCAAAATGTTTTGCAAAAATATCCCGATGAAGATATAAATTCTGCGATATCTCGATCGGGATAGCGCTCGTGAGACCGGACTGTCAATCAAGAGCCTCTCTGTGCTTACAAACGCTCAACAAAAAAAGAAGAAAGTTGAAAACTAGATTCGAACTCTCATTCTACTTGTTCATAATGACAAAATACCGGACGGACGGTACCGCTGGTTATACCGACGGTAAATCGAACGGTGATCGCGGTTACTGTGCGGTAATTTCGATTTTGCTACTTGTATAGCTTACTTTTTCGGTTTTGAGGAGATGGAGTAGCCAACTGCATGCAAGAAACCGGAATACTTTTTATCTTATAAACAGTCATTTTTAACAAACTTTTCTGTTTTTTCACCGCATTCTTTCCTTTCTTTCCTTTGTTCTGAATTAATTTTGATTGAGATTCACTTCGCAAAAACGCCAGCTATCACTGACGATATCATCACGTTGACAAAATGAACAAAATGTAACCTAAAGATGCTCACAAGTAAACGCAGGTCAAAAATTTTAATTAAAACTTGAAAGATTTTTCAATTTTCTGCTCAATTACTTCAAGGTCTTACGCAGATTTTCGGACATCATTCAAGATCTTGAGATCACTCTATATAGTTCAGGATTTCGACAATTTTTGTTACAGAATCTGCCTTGAAAAAATTTGATCATGATCAAGATTTGTAACTAATTCTGAGAAATTAATTAATTAGTCATTGATGAGTATCGCCCATGTCATCAGAACCGCTAAAATACCGTCGGTTACCGCAGCGGTCACCGCCGAGTATAATGGGAGGTTAACCTAATGAACATGTGAAACTACCGCACGGTCTACCGAACCGCGCGGTATACCGGTCGGTTGTGCCGGCAGTATCAACCGGTATTTATCAGTGTGAGCAAACAGTACAGGAGTTTGAATCTAGTACTCAGCTTTCTTTTTTTACCGTGCGCATGCAGCGCAATAAGGTTTCCAATCGGGAAAAACTTGACTCAAGTCAAAGTGCAAACTTCGACGAGTCTCTATAATCTGAAAGAGGAAGTTTAATCTGAAGAAAATCAGTTTTTTGACTTTTCTGCATTTCTTATATAGGCTGACAACCGCAAAACAAAAAGGTGATTGTGTCAAAACGGTTTTTTCTTGTACTGCGGTCTGAAAACTACCGTGCGGTAACCGCCGATAGAAGAAAAAACCGTCGCTAAACCACAGAGTATACCGAGCGGTTCGGTCCAATCGGTGGTATTTTGTTGAACCGTCGGTAACCGGCAGTATTCTCAACAAATGCGCGACATGGGAATGACTATATTTAGAAAATACAACGTTTTTGTTGAGTTCGTTGAAGATCTTGAAGTTTAAAAAAGAACGTTGATCACCGTTTCTGTTTGTGATTTCTGATTTATATAAGGGATGTGATTTTTTTCTTACAGAAAACTAAACTTACTCCTAGAAAGGACGGGGCTTATAAAGGTCAAACTTTTCCCTTGCTATTTCTGAACAAGATTCACATATTCAGAATCGGCGTGAAATTCTGCGTCGAATGAGGTATATGGCATCTTGGAAAAACCATTTCCATTTTCATTTTATAAGGTTTTCTGGAAAACCTTAGTTGGAAAAACCGGATTTTCCCAAAATAGCTAAACTTTGAAAAACACATTTTACCGTCGTTTGACAGAGCACTGAAAACTGCATACAACTATGTCATT